TTTTTTCTTTTTTCTTTTTTTTCTTTTCCGCTCTTCTGCCCCAGATCTCTTGGCTAGGTTACGGCGGAATTGCACAGCCTGCCTGCCAGCCCCGCAGCGCGGGGGAGAGAGGAGGGAGCGGAGTGCGTGGGTACAGCACACCCAGCGCAGAGCGGCTCAGCTGCGTGTTCAGACAGACCCTGCCATAAGCTGTGTGTGTCTGGGAGGGTCCAACCCTCCTCACAGGCCAGAGAGGGTCTGGGTCAATCAGGGAGGCCTAGTAGGAAAGCAAAGAAAGCTGCTTCAGGTAGCTGGATATTGGGAGCACTGGCATGGTGCTAGCCTTGCTGAAAGCTCCATCTCTTCCCCCAGGAAAATTCCTTGCTTCGTTTTTCTATTTAAGCCGAAAAAGGGGGGAGAGTAAGGAAATATGCGGAGATAGGTGTAAGAGGAGTGGGAGTTCAGCTCACAGGTGTGCTGGGATACGTTGAGAGCATCTGAAAGCGTCAGTTTATTTAAATGACCTGCGATCTTGTAGCTACTGCAGCTGTAGACATCCCACCCATAAGAGCAGTGTGTGCTTCCATTCACTCTTCCCTTAATTTGAAGAATACAACATTCTGTACACGTATATGTATTGTAGTGCTCAGGCTTTTAGACTGTGATCAGTTTGTGTGACTTGTGAAATCAAAAATATGTTTTAAATTTTTTGGTCAATTATATATATATCCAAGTCCACCAAACACAAATATGGAACATACTCAAACCCTTCTTTTTAGCCCAGTAAAACTTAGTATTTGTTAAGAAAAAGAAGGAATTGTATTTTCCTAGGCTGTTTTAATTTAAAGACATTCTCTGAGATAGAGGCAAGGAGGGAAACAGTGCCATCACATCTTTCTGCAGTAGCTCCTGATGGGCTATGTCTGTCTGTGTGTATTGAAAAGTTGTGTCAGTGCAATAGGGATTACAGCAATAAGCCAAGGCTTCTGCTTATTTTGCTCTGGTGACTTTGTTCTTACTGCCTAAAGCCAGCTAAAATTCTCTGTGATATTTTGGTTTTTGTAGAATTGTTCACAAGTTGTGGGTAGCCAGTTAGGGATGTCATTCTCTCTCCTTGTCCCATGAGTTGTGGATGCTCTGGTGCTTTTCCAGGCGAAGCAGTACAGAATCAGGTGGTGTGCTGACTGCTCATGATTTAGTACAGAGCAAGGAGCTGATCAGTCTGTGAGCTGTCCAAATTAAACTGAACTAACCAGAGATCATGAGCTCTTTACTGTGTTTTGATAGCTGAAATCCTCAAAGTGGATTTTCGCTTTTATGCACCAAAGGATACTTTGGATTCACAAATGTAGAAGTATGAATAACTTCTGTTTCAGTAGGGCTCTGGTGATCTGTTGCATAGTACTTGAAGTGTGGATTTGGGGAGTTAGATGCTGAATAAAATTATTTAAAAATAATTCGATGTACATATCAGGTACCCTCCCTTTTTCTTCCCTTCTGTTCCTGCAGTGTTCTGGCTCCAGGGTTGGTATCACAACTGTATTTGCTGATCTGATGCTCAGCAACTTTGGGGGACCGCCAGGAAAAAAAGCGAGGTGGTTCTTCCTGTTGTGTTGAATATCATTGTGACTGAGATCTAGGGTACTCAGTATGTGTTCATGGAGATTTGTGGTTCCTTAGAGTGGTATACGAGCGAATCCTTTGTGTAATGAAGTTAAAGGAAATTTCTCTTCCCGTGTAATGGCAGATAAAGAGTCATGGATGGGAAAGCACTTGTTTAGTGTGTCTTAAACATCTGACCCAAGGCATCTCTACCCATGCAGTCTCTGCTGAGTGCTGGGAGGGGGCTGTCCTTATCACAGCTTTTTCTTAAAGGTTTTGTTTGTGTAGCAGAGAATATATATTTTATTTGCTTATAAACTGTAAGGTAATTGTGAGACAAGATTAAATGAAGTAAATGAAAGTAGCTTTTTCATATCCGTTTCCAGAGGCTAAAGAAAGAAAGAGATACCAGCAAGTTGTGCTGCAAGGAGTGTTTTATAATGATATCTGAAAATACAGGCCACTATTAAAAGTTCAGATAATTTAGAAGATTACAGTTATTAATAATAATTAAAATTCTGATGAGCTATGTTGGGTATCTGCAGGTCAGGCAAGGAATGGGATAATCCAAAATACTTGGCTCAATGATGAGGATCCTTGTAGGGTCTCTGTTTTCAGAGCATAATGCAGTAACGATGCGTTGCTTAGCTCATTGATGGGTATCCTAATGATGTTTTTAAAAATAGGTTAAAGTCACTTGCATTACACATTTGCTGAAGGAACTGACTATGTTGATCCTCATGGAAGGATTAAAAACGTACACTGAAAATGTGGGAGATTGGGTCATCATTGCCAAATCTCTAGGTTGATTATAGGTTGGATGAAAGGGGCAGACCTCTTCTGAGACTGACCTTCAGAAAAGGGTATGAAGAACAAAGTAGGACAACACATAAATTATTACGTACTGACTTAAAGTTGGCATGGCTGGTGGAGATAGAAGGGGATGTAACATTAGAACAAGCGTGAAACAGGGCCTCTGGGTTTTATTCCAGATTCTTACTAACTGCTGGGTAATTACTCATCTCTCTGGGTCTCCTTCTGCCCATCTGGTAACTTACCTAGCTGCCAAAACTGTTGCAAGGCTTTAACTAAAGGTGAACTGCGAAGCAAAGCAGTTGGTGCCTGCCCTTTGGTGTTCTTCTGTGATGTGTAGCCATGCCTATGATATTTTCTTCCCCCAGCTCTACAGGCTCCTTACATCAAGTACGCCAGCTATTAGAAAAGAAGGTTAGAAATATTTCACTAATTGTACTTATAAACTGCCTGTTAGTGAATGAAAGAACAACAGCCACCAAGGTTAAAATTTGGTAAAGTTGCCAGATGTTAGATTACTCAAGAGTGAGGAAAAGTTGAGAAAGGTTTTATCAATGTAAACTGCGCTGGAAGAAGAGGACTTTGATGTGCACGGTGAGAGAAAGAACTTAGACTTGTGAAGGAAAATGTTTTAGGTCTTTTAGGAGATGGCCAGAGTAGGTAACACTTCTCTTTTCTGTCTTGCCTCCCCCAAAATGTGTGAAAGATGACAGTGGCTGGGCTGTGTAGTAAATGATGTTATGAAATCCGGGAGGCTTTGGCAAGGATTCTTGAAAAAAGGAAGGGAGGAAGAGAGCTAGTTTGTGGGGAATATGAGGGGTATGATATTGTCACTTAGCAAGAGGGTAGATTCAGCAGCAGGATGGTGTGAGAGTCTCTGGGGTGCAAGGAGTGTGGACTCCTGGTGCTTGTCTGTATGCATCACCTCTTCAGAGCATTAATTATTCTGGGGTGTGTCACTGTGAGGATAGCCCCAGTTGGATTGAGAGTGCCCGATTTTGCTTTGGCTAACAATAGACTAATTATTTTGTTAAACAGCTTTGGCTCTTATAATGAAGAATATACTGACTTGCACAAGATAATTGCAGTTATGAATTAAAGATGTATTTGTTTGCTTTGTGTGTTTGTGTAAATATGCTCTTACTGCTGTTTAGAAGACCAATACAAAACTTGGATTACAAAGGTGATCAATATTTATTTAAAGCAAAAAAAAATCCTGACGAAATACAGCATTCTTTATGGTGTGCAGCCAAGCCTCATTTTCACTGCAATTTTCCCCTGGACAAAGTCATTTATAATTAATTAGGCAAAGAGTGTTTAAGGAAAAACAGATATGCAAGGATAGAGTCAGATGTGTCTGTGCACTGATGGTTGTAGTAAAGTGTAAATAGTGCCTTAGTAAATGCAAACCCTCATAGTCACAGTGAGGTTGTGTGCAGCTTATATTAAGCCAAGTAGCCTTAATGAGCTCCACTTACTGGGAGTAATGTGATATGAATTAATAGGAAGAGACTGGAAAGATGATGGGGGATGTGCTCTACAAAGCTTTGTTTTGAGAGATGTCTTCGGTGCCTTTTGCCTAGAATATACATGTTTATTTTCAGTCATGACTGACTTGCTGCTGAAGTACCTCACTGTGTTGCATTTCGATATTAGACTTCTCCAAAGCTACATGAAAACTTTTCTGTGGGTAGAGGAACATGCAGTTGTTTGTCTTTTTCCAGATTTTTCTCTTCAGCAGCAAAGCCTTGTATGTTACTCTCCAACTTCCAAACTGTTTAAACAAGATTTGTTTTCCTTTTCAGATTGTTTCAAGAAAAAATCCAGAGGATGTCCAGGAGGTAACGGTTTAAACTTGTGCAAATGTCTTCATGTGTCACACCATGCCTTTTGAAGCATCTTTGATATAATGTAGCAGTTTCTGTGTGTTTTGTCCTCCTAATTGAGCAAACAGTTTTTGCATGTTTTCATTTGTCTTCAGCTTTCATGGTTGAAAACGGTAGCTAGTGTAACATGTTGCATTTCATCCCTCAGTGATGAATCATGACTTGAAACAAAGTCTTAGGGAGTAAAGTGTCTTTTGATGACAAAACTGCTTTGATAATTTTGCAAGCTCTTTTCTCAGGGCTGGAATTGGCAAATTGATGGTTACTTAACTCCTACTGGTAAAATTAGAGATCAGTCCACAATTCAAGTCTTAGGTCTCAGCTGTAGGTACTCTTTTCCTCTTTAACCAATACTTCACTGAAAAGCCTTCACCATTACTGTCTGTTAGTGAAGAGGGAAGATGGAGGAGCATAGGAGTAGTTGAGAGATTAGATTCAACTCATATATTATGCCTGTCTCTCTGGGGCTCCTTTAGTATTTTCCAGTGATATACTTTGATAAAACTTTAAAATTGCTTACTCTTTGACTCTTCTGTAAAGGCTGTAAATAAGGGTCTGCTGTATTCTTGTGCCTCTGAAATACCTGAAAAGTCTCTCACAGGAGCCATTTATTGAGACAAAAAAGTACATCACGTGTGTGGGGTTTGGATTTATTTTTTTTTTCCTAGTTTAAGAAGCCTTTTTTCTCCTCTTGATTTTTTTTTTTTTTTCCCCTGGACTAATGACTTGACGTGGATACTATTATACTATGCACATGCAAAATCTTTCTTCAAAAGCACAACCTTACGGCTTTTCAGGCACTGTGTAACGTATGCATATGTTCAATTTCTGGTGCAGTCTCTTACTACAGTTGAGAATCTGCATAGTTAATGAAAGACAGCTCATAAATTAACTCATTGCATCTCTGTGTGGTCAGACATGAGTTACTGATTAGTGGCTTGACAGAGGCGAGAGTTGGCTAATATACCTAACACCTCTTTATCGCATCCTTCTTTGAAATCTCCAGAATCAGACAAGCTTGAGCAGTCATGCTTTGTGCATTTTTTTTAGCTCTGGAAGATTAAAATGGCCTATCAGAATCAGAGATGATCATGGATCTAGTTTTAGAACTGCATTACAGTAGTTTGTAGCTTCCTGTTCCCCTTTTCCAGGGAGACTCCTGAATTGAGCCTATCTATGAGCACATTCTGCCTTTACCTTAATCTTCATTTGTGAGGAAAACCACTTTATAGCAGCTGTTGATGAGCCCATTCATCAGAAAAATATATTGTGTTTTTTCAGCTAGAGTATTGCATGAACATGTGTTAAGTAGTTTTGACACAGTAGCAAAACCGTATCTTCTAGTCATTGCTTTGGTTATTGCTTTGAGCTGTGACTGTAGGTTAGCCATGCAGAGTTCCACACTCTCTAGACAATAAGAGGACATAAATATGTTATGAGCTTGTTGATGGCTACCCTTTTTCACCCTTCATTGTACCAAATTAATTATTTTACATGTGATGGGATGTTAGGCGTGGGTGTTTCTGTTTTAAGCAAGCATCTGATAATACTTAGTTATTAAAAGGAATATCCTAGATGGTAGTTGCCATAAGGGTGAATTGTGATCAGGAAGCCCCATACATTGGGAGCTTTTCTGTTGCACTGGCTTCTTAGGATGAAAAAAGAATTGTGTGCAGCCTTTGAAAGAAAAACAACATGCTTCTAACCTACTTCCACTGAAAATAAAGTTACCCTGGTTTTCCAGAATGCTCAGTTAGAAATTCAGTAGACAAATTATCTGTGACAGCCAGCCTGTTGCTTTGTGGTATGTCTCATGCAACCCCCTTCCCATACCCATGTAGGACCACTTAGCTGTGCCTGCCTCCTCATTCAGAAATCTCTTAATGTCACTGCTGTAATGTTAATACATATATTACATGTGTACAACCGCACATGTGTGCTGTGACCTCAGCTCTACTTGCCAGCTTTCTGTCATAGCTTTTAACTGCCCTTTGGGGTGCCCTTAACAGCACCTTTCCCACTGCAGCCAGTTACAATTCAATGTAATCCCAGCTGTTGATGTTTGGACAGGAAGGAAAATGTAAGGGCTTCCTTCTCAAAAGGATGAAGGAAATTAACATGCAGTTTTGTGTGGAAGAATTAGTAGATACAGAAAGGCCAAAGGACTTTATTTCCGTGCTTCTGGGGACTGATGGTGGCAACATGGTGTGTGAAGCAATTGCAGCTAGGGTAGTCTTGTGTGGTTTTTTTTGCTTATTCAGGGAGGAAAAAGGCTTGTTCACTGTGGAACAGATGAGTTGAATGAGTTAATAGAGATCTACTGGCTCTAGCCATGACAAGCACCTTATTGTGTTACAAGTCCAGCATATGTTTTATGATATACTTGCTGTGCTTCACTGGGCTTCAAAGTACAGTGTGTCCTTCCTCCAAATCTAATGAGTATGTTAGAATGGGAACTTTGCTAACTTAGCTGAGCCACGTGCATGCAAAGGCATGTTTTCCATGAGCTTGTGAAAGGCTTGAGGATTGACTGCTTTTTGATATGCAAGTTACTTATGGATATTTATTTTTTTCCTCTTGGATATTGGATGATCACTTGCTGCAATAAAAGTGATGCTTTATTAGTAGTCTGGAATCTCTTGCTGTTATTTTCTGGCAGTTTTTCACATGGTCTCCATGTACTGACAATACAGTAACTTGATATTTAAAGAGTTCACCATCTTAAGCAATTTTATGTTCTATATGCACACTGCTCAAGAAGTGCTAATCATCCACTTTCTAAATATTGGATTAGATAGAAGTACAGCATTGAAAAAATGAACTGTTTCTGATAGCAAAATGATTAGTTTGCCTTCTGGAGATTCCTCCATTGTGCCTTGAACTTCAGTAAGTACCAGTCATAATTTAGTTCTGAAAATGTGTGCCAATATGTGGGTCTGAATTAGGACTGCTAGTTTCAGTAGAGCTGAGTTTATAAGGTGGGTAGAGTGTTGTCATACTACTAAAGCTTTGCAAATCCAGTCTTAACAGGCCTCTTGCCTTATACCTGCATTCTACTGTAGATAAGACTTGCATCTGCTGAAACTTAGAAGGCCTCTGATCTTAGTGTTTAGAAAAAAACCCCACCAAACCAAACTCATCCAAAACTCCAACAAAACAGCAGCAAAAATGCTCTATATCTAACATTCTTCCTTAGCTCTAAATTGGGTTTCCTTGAGAAAAGTACTTTTCCAGTCATGGTTGCTCATGAGAAGGCAGCCTGTTAAGTCAATCGGAAATATTTGAAATATTTTAAATTGTGGTTAGTTGTATGAAGCTAATTGAGACATTTGACTGATGCAACAGTAGAATCAACTGCTGAATGCATTGCAGTCTCTCTCTTTTTTTTTTTCTTCCTCATGTTCTACTTTAATCACTTTACATTAGTGTTGAGGTTTATTATGATGGCTTAGTGAGTCTAACCAAAAATGAGGTCAGGATATAAAGTGTCTTTGTGAATTTTTTTTTTCATCTGATAGCAAACTTGTTAGCAGTCAAGTGTAAACTTTATTGTTTAGTTCTTTCCTTGGCGTGATTTTCCTTTTGCATTCTTATCCTTCCTTGAATGGAAAGAGTAGAAAGAATGGGATGGAAGAAGGATAAGGTAGATACTTGACTGAGAGATGACTACTTCTTTCTGGAAAGGATAGGTCAGGAAAGGCTAGTCTAACAAACCAGTGCTGTCTTTGCATTCCTGAAGGTGAAGGTTTTGTCTACATTACAAAAGGGTTATACTAATTTTTTGATCAGTGTTATTACTTAAAAACCATTTAAAATGGGGGCTTGGATTTAAATCTGATCAGCATTTTACATACACAATTTAGGAGCTGTTTTGTAGTCCTGGGTGTTTAATGTGCTGTCCTTAAGAATCCCTTACTTGTATTGATTTCTATTCCATCATTTTCTCTTTTGTTGTGTCTCTTCCCCACACCTGCAGCTGCTCCAAGCACAGCGTGCTGTTGAGTGTTGGATAGTGCAACACTCCTCTCAGCATTTTTTCCTCTTGTATTGGTTCCCTGTGTAGGTCTGGATCTGTGTGTGACTGAAGCAGTGCTGCCTTTGCCCTCTCTGTTTCCTTCTTTCAGCTTTTACTTTATATTTTTTCTATGCACTGTAGTGTTGTTAGCCAAAATGGGGATTTGGGGACAGATAATGACCATTCATTTTAATGGTTTTTACAGTTGGCAGTTCAGATGGTATATTTTTGTTAAACATATTTGCTGAAATTAGTGGTGCTTACGTGCTTAAAAAATGTATTTGTGGTGTGATGCAATGTGAACAATGAACCTCAGTAATCCTTCTTTCCTGTTTCTCTGCCTCAGATAGTCGTTTGGAAGAGATACAGTGACTTTAAGAAACTCCACAAAGATCTCTGGCAAATTCACAAAAACCTGTACAGACATACAGAGCTCTTTCCACCTTTTGCCAAAGCAATAGTATTTGGTAAGCATAATTTCTTCCTGACCTGCTGAAATTCTTTGATAGCTCAATATTTATAAATACATCTTGTTTTTCAGCTGGATGGAACTTTCTCCCGTGTACTTTTGCTACCCAACTTACTTCTAGGTGTGCTGGTATCATAGCTTGAGACTTTTATGTATCTTTTTTTGACAGGGTTAGTTATGTCCTTGCTTCCATGTTAGACATGGTAGCTCAGGTATCTATTGATGTATATGTTTTGTGTCTTTACAATATACATTCCCTGTTTTCAGGACCATGAAGTCTGTATTAGATTTGTGAACATCACTTGAACAATGAACAGTTTTTCATGTGTAAGCTGTTTGATTTCTAGTGATGAGTTATAGTAAAGTATCAAGTTGTTGTTACAGAGGAGAAGTTTTTTTACTTTAGGAGTTTGATTGCAGTTGTCAATTTTATCTGGCTAGGCTTTTGAGATCAGTTACCCATATAGAAGTTCACTATTTTGCCAGAACGAACTGCAAGAGGATTGTGACTCTGCAGGAGAAACAGCTGGCAAAAAGGAATTTAGTACTTAAAAGCCAAAGGTCTTAACTTATTCCTGATGTATATGTCATCATGAATGGGCTAGAGGTGAACTTTCAGTAGTGTGACTCTATATAGAATTCCACCTGCCACAACTTCTTTTACTGGTACTGTGTTTATAAAATAAACATTTTTAGTGCATATTCTAATCAGTACGGACTGGTACTGATTTCTTGGTGTATGTGTGTATCACACAAGATCCATTGGGATTTTAAGCAGTTTTCAAAATTTTTTTAATATGTTCAGCTTGTTTGTCATCTTTTTTTGCATGCATCTACTGCATGCTTTATGTTTCTGAGGCATTTCTAAGGTGTTGCTAACTGTCCAGAATAGGTTTGGTTCTTTTTTTGGTGTGCATCTAACCATCTGCTTTGGTCTTTTTCTCAAGCATTTTAAAGCTTGTTTTTTTTTTTTTTAAGCTGTCCAGTAATTGTCTGATATTGCTTTACATGCAGCATTTGGTTTGGTTTTGGATGAGCTTTTTATTTTCTAAAGTGCTTTTGGGGTTACCAAGGCATTTCCATGGCATTTCAGAGTTGTTTTAGTGCATTATTTTTTTTTTAGAGCATTTGGTCTGGCTTTTTTTCTGGTGGTGGTAGCTTTTGGCATGCCTCTCCCACATGCTCTCTTCCCCTCCCCCCCAAGTTTCTGATATAGATTTCAGACATTTTTTGCTGTGTTTTTTTATTCCTAAGACATGACTGTGGCACTCGTTGTGTCCAGGATTCATGTGGGGGCTTTTTGGTGTGAGTGTATCACACAATTTTCTGTGAGTTTTAAGTTCCTAGTGTGACTGGGATTTTTTTGGCATGCATCTACCAGTCTGCCACTTAATTTTCGAGTATTTCCAAGGCATTGCTGACAGTCCAGAATGTGTTTGGTGCTGCATTTATGATGTGCTCTTCTCTGCTGTGGTTTTTGGCAGGTTTTTCAGTTTTCAAGGCGATGTTGGCATTTCCATGGCACTTAGTTTCAGTGTGTATGGTGTTTTTTAAGCACCCAGTCTGTGGTGGTTGTGGTGTTTGTGTTTTGGTTTTAGGGTTTTATTGGCATAGTTTTCAGCATCCAGCATGTTTGGTGTTTTTTGGCAAACATCTACCATGTTCTCTCTTCTTAGGCAAAGTTTTTGGTGTGAATTCTATGCTCTTTTTGGCAAGGTTTTTGGTTCCTAACAGATTGCTGCAGCATTTTAATGTGTTCTTTTTTTTTTTTTTGGTGGGGTGTTGTGGGTTTTTTTTTGGCATCCAGGATTTCTTAGGTAAAGCTTTTTTTTATGTATATGCTGCAAGTTTTAAAGCATTTTTCAGCATTTTTTAGCAAGTCCATCATGTTTGGTGCTTTTGGCATGGATCCTATGGTGTGCTTTGTGAGAATTCCTGAAACATTTCTAACTGTATGGAATGGGTTTGGTGATGCTTTTTAGCTTGTTATTTTTTGTTGAGCTTTTTAAAGTGTCCAACTTGAGTTTAGATTTTTTTTGCATGCATTTACCAGCTGGAATTATTGTACATGTTAATAGGTTTCAAGAACTCAATGTGTTTGGTGTGTTATAGGCACAAATCGGTCATATGGTCTTTTTGGAGTGTTATTTTTTTAAGGCTTTTTGGCTTTTAAGACATTTTTGTTGGACTTTTTGGTTTGTGAGGTGGTCTTGGCGTTACTAAGGCATTTCCAAGTTGGGTTTGTGGTTTTTTTTCTTTTTTTTTTAAAGCATCCTGCTTGTGTTATGTTTTTTTATATGAACTCTTTGTGTGGTGTTTAATGTCCAGCATGGTTGGTGTTTTTTTGGCATGTGCTCTCTTTTTTGGCAAGGTTTCCAGGGCATATTTTGAGCAATTTTAGGTGTGGTTTTGATTCCTAGGGCATGGCTATGAGACTATTTCTGTCCAGGATTTCTTTGGTGGTTTTTTTTGGTGTACATATATGATAGGATTTTTCAGTGTGTTTTAAGAGTTATTCAGTGAGTTTTTTTGTATGTCCAGTATATTTGGTGGATTTTTTAGCATGCTTTTGCCATGTGCAATTATTGAGCATTTTAATGGGGTTTTAATCTCTGAACATGTGTTTGGCATTTTTTTTGGCATGAAGCTGCCACATGCTCTTATTTTTGGTTTTTAATGTGGTCTTTGGCAGACTGTTCAGTTTCTAAGGTGTTTTTGGACAGGCTTTTCAGTGTCTAAGGCATTTTGGGTTTATTGAAGCCTTTCCATGGTGTTTACAAATTGATTTAGTGTGGTGCTTGTTTAATTTTTTGGTTTTGGTCTTTTTTAAATTTATGTTCAGCCTGTATTTGTGGCATTTCTGTGCACCTCGTCTGGTATTTAGTGTCCAGCCTGTTTGGCATTTTTTTGAATGCATCTTCCATGTGCTCTGGGTTTTGCATATTTTTTTGGTGTGGGTTTTGGTTCCTACAGCATTGTCACGGCATGTTTGGCTTTACTGTAATGGTGTGTCAGTGTCCAGCATGTTTGGTGTCTTTTGGCATGAGTTTCTCATTTGCTCTTATTTTTTTTTTGCCAAGGTTTTTGCACCGTTTCTTTGGATTGTTTTTGTTTCTCAGGCATTACTGCAGTGTTGGTTTCCATTGCCATGCTGTTTCTAATATGTTTTGGTGGGTTTTTTAAACACACAGCACACTCAGCATGGGTTTGGCTTTTTTTCCATCCTGCTACCACATGGGTTTTTTGTGTGTTCCATATTGCTTTAGCATTTTTAGTGTTCAGCATGTTTGGCTTTTTTTGGCATGCATCTACTGCATACTTTTGTCTATGTGCACATTTGCCATGTGTTTTACATGTTTTTTTCTTTATTGTCATGCATGTTTTTGCATGTTTTGGATGTGTTGTGCATGTTTTGGCAACCAGACATCATTTGGTATGTTTTAGCATCTATCTAGTGCTGATTTTTGCAGGGTTTTTTGTGTGTAGCATTTTTAGCAGTGTTGGGCATGTGTCTAGAGCATTTTTTCCCATGTTTTCTGTGTCTCACATTGCTATATTTTAGCATCTAGCCAGTGTTTCATGTTTTTGGCATGCTTCTGTTGCATGTTTTTGCATATTTTTCCCTTTGTAATGATTTTAGCATGTTTTATCATCTTGTATATTTTTGGCATGAATCTATTACATGCTTAGCATGGTAGAACGTGCAGAAAAGCTTTTGTGCATCCTAGCATTTTTTCATGGGTTTTCTGTATTTTTACTTATTTTTTTTTCCTGTGTGATAATTTCTGTAAATACTTTGCTTTTTGGATGCAGTATGCTCTTTGGTGGGGTGTTGTTTTTTTCATGGTTTTGGTGGTTTGGTTTTGTTTGGTTGTTTGGGGTTTTTTTGGGTGTTTTTTTCTTGGCCAGTTACTGTTACTTTGGGATAGTCAAGCCTGTCAGTATGGACAGTGCCAAAATCGAGATGGTTTAGTCAGTCCTTTTCCCAGCCCTTTGTGTGGCAGCACTGTAAAACTGCCCAGGTCAGGGTTTTGTAGCCACGTTTGCAGGCCCTTCTTTGCCTTGAGTGATGGCCAAACTGTATGAAACTCCCCTCAGGCTGGAAAAGACGAATTTTCCTTTTAATGTTTCAGGACCAAATACTGACACAGGCTTGTGGTTTTTGCTACTTGGTGTTCGGTATTTATGACTGCTGCATGCAGGCATGGCACTGAGGTGCTTTAAAGACTATGCTAACAACAGAACAACTCTTGAGCAAGGTGAAGTTAGTTGAAAACCCAAGTCCAATCTGCCCCTGCAGCTCTGGGGGAGCCTCTGACTTAACTCCTTGTTGCATGGACCAGCTAAGTGAGGGGCAAGGAAGCTGAATTCTGATGCAGGTTTAGTGGTTCTCTGTGCAGAGCTGTGTAAAATTCCTGATGTAAATTGTCTTTCACATCAGCTACGTTGTACCCAGCTTTTATGCAATTTGTTTTTTGCTTATGTATGAAGTTGGAAGGGGGGTAAATTTTGCCCCTGTGTCAGAATGCGAGTGGTGATGGTTAAATAAAAGCTGTAGTATTAGTTTCATTCTGAGAATATTTTGTATTGGATTTACAGAGTAGAGTTGTCGCTGGACAAATAATTTACAAAGCTAATATTTTTAGAGCATAATTTAATTTCAGGTAGAGGATACGATAGCTATTCATAAGGGAGGAAAGAGAGGGGTAAAAAGAAAAGAAAGGGTGGAAGAGAGTAAGGACTTGTAATATCTTAAATAATTTTAAATTGCCATAAATGCAAATTAGCTGTTTTTACACTAGCTCTGAAAGCAAGGGAAGAATTGAGTATAATCCCTTCTGAAAAACATCCTTCTTCAATTGTATTTAGTGAACAAAAGTGACTGCAATGTACATTGTAGGAGAAGGGAATCCACAGAAATATTCAATGCAGTTATTTATAGAAAAAGCCCTTTGAAGTTAAAACTAAACAAAAATGAACCCCACTACATTTAAATGAAACTGAGCCACAGAAGAATACAGGAAAGTGGAGGTAATGTAAATGTGAATTTTAAATGATTGATGCATAGCTGAAAGGTACGGAACTATCTGATTCTTCAATTTAAGAATTATTTTTCAATTTACAGCATAAAATTATACTTCTACATGCAGTAACTCCCATGTGATTTATTTTTATTTAAAGCATTTAGCTTCAGAAAAGTCCTGGTAATTTTTTTTGTACTAGAGGAAAAATATAATCTTAGTAGATTTTGAGGTTTTGACAAACTTGTTTTCAGTCTCGTTCAGTTAGTGATGGACCACAAAGTCCATCTCTATTAAGAACTTTTGTTTCCAAGCTGCTTTAATGAAGCATTTTTGCAGCGTTTCTTCCCTGTGGTGATACTACATTTGTTGCAGCTTTTAAACTACTTACTAATTAGAATTGCCAGTAGTTGCTGGCAGCTTGTTTGGGTTTTTGGGTTGGTTTTTTTTTTGCTTATGTGTACTTAATATATGTACATATTGTTTTGCGGAGAGTACACTTTACAAAATGAGCATGGGTGGTTCTGACTTACTTGGAGTAGACATGTTAAACCTGAGCAGCATCTCCAGTTCAGTTTTCAGAGTTTCAGGAGATGGTGTGGAGAACTGAGATGTGTTTATAAACTAGTGTGTCTTGCTGTGCTTCCCTATTTCATGCAACTAGACTTGCAAGATCTACAGAGCTGAAGTGTGTTTTACACCACAGCTTTTGATAATTATAATGTACAAGTGTGTGTGTGTTTTTATGCAGTTGTAGTAGAGCTGCTTGCAGCAAAGCATGAGACTTGTTATGGGTGGGAAAAAGAAGTCATCTCACTTTTTCTGTAATTCATTTGAACCTTTTCCACCCATCTTACAGAAAAAACCCACAGTGAACTTGATCATGGGAATCTAAAATGTTCTAAAAATCCAGTTGTTAAATCGTTTCCAAATGGCTCTAATGCTATTATGATACCTGTTTCTGGGACATGATTACTGTCCTGCCCTAATATACATCAACATAATTTTTTCCATAAGTTCAAACTACTTTTTGTTGGATACTATGTACTCCTGTATTTTGACTGTATATTGCATTTTACCAAAATACTGGTCTACTCAGCATGTCTCATATCTAACAACTGCAGGAATGTACTCTAGTATAAAAAATACTACACCCCTCTTTCCCAACAAAAAAGAAACCCAAAAAACCCAGATACTGATAACTTGCTGGCAATGAGTCAGAAAGATGATTCACATTATAAAGCCCAGATAAAGATACTTTTTGTATATGAAAATACCAAATGAAGTAGCATATTTAAGAACTGAGTGTCAGGTACGGTAGGAAGTCTTGTGAGAAACTAAAGAAAACATGGACACAAACCTTGCTAGGTGTTTTGTTAAGTTCTGCTCCACAAAATTGTGAATTCACTTTACAGGAATTTACATTTGGTTTCCACATATGTGAGAAATTCTGAATGGATCATCACTGGAGGAACAGCAGAACTGTGCTAATGCATGTGTTATGTGCTAAGTTTGTAGTTGACACTTCTTAAAAACCCAAAATAGACATGATCCCTGTAATGAAGTTTACATGTGTCCGAGATGTAAGGAATAGTGGAAACAACATTGATTTAGATGCAGGATAACCTCCTGATGGAAGTGTTTGAAGAGTCAGCTGGCTTTGCAAGGACCTGTAAGCATCTCTTTGAGAAAGGTGGTAATGAAAGTGTTGAGCAATACAAGATTGCTTCGAAGTATGAAAAGGAAAGAGGGGGCAAGAGTTAGGTAGGATTGCCTGGGAATTAAAACTGCCAGGTAGTCTGTGAACAAACCAGTCCTGAGTTATGTTCTTTCTTCCCTCAAAGTCCTTTAGTTCTGTAAGTTGTCCTGATATTGTATCATGATGCTAATAAGCTGGAAAATGTGACAGTGACTAATGCTTCAATGGCTTTGTTTAGACATGTATTTTTTATTTAATTTTTTTAGCTCAGCTTCCTAAGAAACTAAGGCTTATGTAATTTCGCTGTCAGAATTGAACCTCTTGCTCATGTGGCAAACAGCAGCTAAATTTGAGAGTGAAAGCGGTTGCAAATGTAGTTATATTTCTGCAGAGTCTGTGAAATGGCAGCTGAATAAGAACAGAGTGTGTGATTTGGTGCTACTAAGTGCCAGGCAGGCTCAGGTCATATCCATGAGGTTTGTAGCTGCCTGGCAATAGGTGAGAGCATGCTGGTCAGCCTGGGAGTGCTGGTCCTGGTGTGTCCTGTCTGGAGCCCAGTGGAAGTACTGAGAAGATGTGGATAAAGAAAATTAGTTTGTATTGGGTTTGATGATGAAGTGGACCAGGGAGTGATTCTTAGGAAACAAGGGAAAATATCTTGCAAAATTACTTTACTGCAGAAGTTAGCCGTTTCTGGCATTGTTAGGTATTTACTTCTTCACAATTGATTTTCTGTTGCATTCTAACAGTTCTTGTGTTATTTTGTAGATTCATTTAACTGGCCCTTGCTGCTGTGCTTTGCTGAGGGAAGGGTTTTTTTCATGATGTCCTGTTTTGGATGGAATGAACCAAGAGCCCTAATGCACTCCCAGTGTTGCTCTGAAGACATAGGAAGTTTGATGAGCAGTTTAATAGAGCCTAATTTCAGTGTTGCCACTCAACGTGGTAGCACTGCTTTTACCTTCTTTCTGCTTGCTTGTTGCTCACTCTTTTGTGCAGCTGCTCATGTTTGCACAGCTGAAACGGCAGGGTGAGCAAGGCACGGAACCAATCCAGCTGAAAATTAGCTTTTCTTTTCTTTCATGGAAAAAAATAAGCCCCCAAAGCTTTGTTTGTGATCTTGTGAGTATGTGTGTGTCTTTTTAGTTTTATTTTCTTTTTTTCTGGTGCCGCATGGGCAGGAGCTATTTACTTGAAGAATTTCTGGAAAGAATCCTGCTTTGATACTTTCTTCTGGGATTATTTTTTGCTTGCTCTGAGTATAAATGAATTTTGCTTTTGTATTCCATGTTTCTTTTGTCCCCTTCAAAGGTTAATGCCACAGAGCTGTCACAGGTGGTTCTTATTTTTCTGATCATGCTGTTATAGCAATACTGTTTCTTGAACTTGTCTTCCCAGTCCTTTTTTTCCCTGTGCATAGCTGTTGCAATATCTGTTCTATTCTCCTCCAATTATTACTGTTAACCTCTGCCCTTTTTCTTTTGTAAACTTCTAACTATTTCAACAACAAAGTGATGTTGATATAAAAAGCTAAAATAAGTTGTGTGCGATTGTGAAGGATGTGAATTTAAGGTAGCAATCCAAGGGTTTTCTCCTGAGGAGCAAAACTCTTCAGGTGAACTGTGGGATTGTTTTTAAAGTTTGTTTTTTTTTCTAATTGGAATGTTTTGGGTGCTGGGTAGGGAAAAAGCAAGGATCATACATTGTAGTAAATGAGCTGCTTCCCAGCTCTCCTTACCTCTTGAATCCAGAAGGAGATGAGACCCTGTCTGCATGGAGCTACTTCAGAGGAAAGCTTCAGTGCCTGGTAGCAGGGCTTCACCATCTCCCCTACACTTTGTCTCCTCCATAAATGGCACCTTGGAATTGATGATCTGTTTGGGGGCTTTTAGCAACACTTTGTTTACTATCCGCTCATGTTGTGTTGTTCTTGAGAATATGTGAAGATTGCTCAGCTCCTTACAGGATTTGGGCAGTAATCAAGGCTGACACTGACTGGCATATTGTCAAATCGTGCATGTATCATTTATTGTTAGATAACACTGGACATCCGTTAGTGTCTCTTGGCTAATCAAGAATGTTGCCTCACATATTCTTACGCTGAGAGGGCGAAGGATTCTTGTCGTAGCTGCCAGCTTTCATCATCCGAGCGCATCGCAGAAGACGCGACTCTAGGGACAATTGAGAATAGGAAGTTTGAAGATTTGCTATGTTCTCCTGAAGCATTGGAGTGATTTTCGTAGACTCAGGGCATTGTCTCCAGAAGGTTGCTTTTGTCTTGGTTTTTTTCTTTTCGTTGAAGCTATGACTGCAAAATAAATGTGTAGCTCTTTCTAAAACTGTCAATCTATGTGTCTTCCAGGGCGATTTGATGAAACTGTAATTGAAGAAAGAAGGCAATGTGCTGAAGATCTCTTGCAGTTTTCTGCCAATATCCCTGCTCTCTATAACAGCAGACAGCTTGAAGAGTTTTTTAAGGTTGGTTAGTACTTGCAGAAGTATTTGCTTCTTACCGATGTGAATGTGCTGATTCTGATTTATTTTATGAACTGCAGAGTGACAGTGAGCTGATCTGACATGCTTTGTGGAGGCACTGGGAGTTTTCTGTTCACTCTAGAAATGTGGCTTTTAAAAAAAACCCATGCCACACCTCTACAAGGTGGAAAGTTTTACAGAAACTTCAGGTGAAGGGGTTTGAATTTTTTTTAATTGAATGGTGAGCAGAACTTGTGATGATAAATCCAGGTGTTCAGTGGGGTTGTAATAAAAGTATTGTCACTGTTTCTATATTTTAAGTAGGTGTTTTTAGCTTCGAACCAAAGAAGTGAAGGCTGTTTAGACTGTTTTCTTGTTATCTCTGATGGACTCAGGTCCATGACAACAAATTGGGCATATAACTGGTCCAATGTGCTGCTTGTACAGTGCTGTGAGAACCACTCTGCATAGCATATCTTAGGACAATACATTGATGCAGACTTCCTCTTTGTTACAGCTGAAACTTTTCAATAGTTCCTTCAAACCTCTTTATTTTCAGTAGCTTAGTTTAACTTTCTATGAACTCAAAAGCATAAATTTACATGTAACCATGATGATAACTCTCTAGAATTAGGGAAATGCTCATCTGGCTGAGATGGGACTTCAGTGTATTACTGTGTTAAGTATATTTTAAATGATACATGTACCAAAGCAAAATTACATCAAAGTGTAAAATTCTTCACTTGTTTTCATGATGAAGTTATTGTAATGTGCTTTAAAATACTTAAAATAATTTTCTTTAAGCTTTGGTGGCAACAATGAGTAGAAGAATGAGTTAGACTATTTTACCTTTCAGTTTATTTGCATTTTTTCAGTTCTTTGGAAATACTTCTGTCTTTTTTGTTACTTTTTCAGAGCTCAATTCCCCTCCTTTGCATAATAAAAATATCAATTTTAGCCTCTCAATGGACCTTTTCTGGCTTTACAAGGAAATGAATAAAACTAGAAAAACATTATTTTTTTTTAGGAGCAACTGTGCCTATAAGGGGATTTATGCAGTGAAGTAATTTAGGCTCATTTGTTAGCTAATGTGATGTCATGTGTTCCTGTAAGAGCACCTTAGGTTTTGGTCAAACACCAGCACAGCCCATGTCCTTTAACTCTGCTCATGGGTGTGTTTGTTCCTTTTCAGATTTTTGTTCAAATAGCTGTGTAGAGAGAAACTTGGACAATGAATTCTTAGAAACAACTGAAGGGAATGCTTTGTCTGTCTGTGTACTATAAACTCTGGAAGAATAAGCTGGCTAGTGTGAAAATGTGCTGAGCTAATTCAAGGCAGATCAGCAGTGCCTATTTGTAACACTGCCTTGAAAATGGTGCAGTTTCTGTTAGTTGCATGGACAGTGTACACCAGAGATGTGAAACAGAGATTTAAACAAAATAAATTATGTGGTTTCTAGTGCAGTTAAATAAATGTTTCTGTTGTTACTTCAGTTATCTTTGATTCTTTTCAGGCTTGGGAGGGAATAGTGTCCTCCTTGAGTCTTTGTCCAGTCGTCACTACCTTTGAACTCAAGATAGTGATCATGGGTGGGATATTAGTCCAGTGGACAAGCTCTCCTATGTGAGGGACCTGGTGAGCTTGGGAGCACCACTGAAGGTCTGCCATAAGAGAGCAGGAGTATTGTTGTTCTCTCCCTGTTTAATCTGGGTGTGCAGGTAAACCTGCTGCAGTCTGTATGGTTCAGAACTCTGAAGTTGCAGTGGGCTACCTGTTTAGGTATCTAGACAATCTGTGGGAACCAAACATGGCCTAACCAAAAGCCCTTGTTTAATTTTTCAGGCTTACATAGTTTAATTGAATGCATTAACTCTAAAGTAATGGAGCATTCACTGGTTAGGAAAGTTACTTTTGGCTATTACTTCTATGTAATGAGAATTACCAAAGCACAGCAACTAAATAATCCCTTTCCCTCTTTCCTTTCAGGGTGGAGAGGTCCATGATGGCTCTGAACTGATTGGTCCTGTTGAACCTCTGTCTGACTCTCTGACTGACAACCTGTCTGACTGCAGCTCTGAAGGTTTGCTTTCTTTTCTCATGTAGCTTCGTAGCATGATCTCTTTTAAAGCATCTCATAAATGGCAAGTTCCATGTTTGTTTGTGGAGCGTTGGCATCCAGTTTCTGTTTGCTTGGTATGGCAGCAGTGTCAGAGCTGGGATTAACAGAAGAAAAGTTGGGCTCAGCGGAGCTCTGTCTGCAGTTCTGGAAGTTTGCTTCTAAAGATGTACCTGCTGGCTTGGCTACCATGTGTAGAGTAATTTTAGTGGCACTTCACTTGCACTAAATAATAGTATAGCTGTAAGGAAGGGTCAGTCAGCCCAAATAAATACTGTACTGGGGCTTCTTGCCTACCTCTGGAGACTGAGCTAGCTTAAGCACCACTGTGTACCATGCAATCTTTTAGATATTTATGTATTTCTGAGTTATGCTTGGACCTCGTGATTTCTAAGAAATTCTTTCCCAACCTTGCAAGTCTTCATTTGGAACTGTTGTGCACTCATATATAAATACACATTATTATACAAACAGTTATTAAGCTTATTTTGGAGGGGATTTTTTCTTAACTACTAAATTTGCTCTGGTCTTTCTGGCATTGAACTTGCTTGGGTAAAACTCTGCTTGAAGAACAGAAACTGCTTGTGTTTTCTAAATGTGGTTGGTTTTTTTTTTCCTTGGTGTTTCCACTGGTATCTCTTTATGTCAATAATTGTGCTTTGTTGTACAATATATTCTTTATGGGATGTGAGCTTTGCATTTTATTTTGTAGTATTTTCTATGATGCTGATGAGCTAATGTCCTCACAATATTTTGTTCTGTGAAGGGAAAGGCATAGAGCTAACTAGTTTTAAAGGGGCCTAATTTCTGTGAAATTTAATATTCTGGGTTCTGACAATGCACTCACTTTACACTGTGCCTTATGAAAGGAAAAGTGCTTCTAAAAGTGCTTAATGTGAACATTTCTATTCTTTATTCACAAGGGCCTCATTTTTAGAAGAAGAAAACCACTTCCTTTATGTGAGATAAAATATTGAAAAGAAAAAAATGCTGTAAAGTAGAAAAATTCTTTGATACTCTTTTTCTGAATCAGCTGGAGTGCTTTTATGGGATACTTGCAATAACCATGAGCACAGGATTTCGAGATGCTGAATGTGACTTTTGTGGAGTTGGATTTTCTAAAAACCTGTGTGTCTTCCAGCTCATATGTTCTTACGTTTGAAGTGAGGTTTTGGTGCGGAGGAGACAAGGGACGGAGGAAACATCTGTCTTTAAGGCCTCTAGATGGCAGTGGCACTACTTGGCCTTGAGTCCTCTCCCTGCCTCTCCTCAGGGACTCCTGCCTGCATCTGATTTTTCCCAGTCTGGTTATGGTAGTTAACTGTGACTGTCTCTGTGTTAGTTTCTGTGAGCATTTCAAGGGCCTCCACGTGGACACTGCTCCTTCAAGCTGTTGTACTGAGAAGTATCAAACCCATTCATTAACAGGTGCTTCTGTTTGCTTATAAGGGTGTGTTCTGTTTTTTCACGTTTATCTGTTGTTTTCAGGCAAAGTTCATTTTGCAGAAGGTGTGCACGTTAATGGTAGAGGCTGCAGATTGATGGCAGTGCAAATGTTTTTGTACCAAGACAAGCAACGATTATCTTGCTTATAAAAGTGGTTTGGCAGTTCATGCTTTCATAGGAATCTGCTTTTCAAGAGGCTAGGTTTCCCAGGCTTTCCAACAGTTTTTGGAGATTGTGCTTAGTCCTCAGATACCTGGTGAAATTGCACAAGGCAGAGACAAGTACAGAAATTTATGTTCAATTTCAGCATCATTACACTCATCTAGTATTACTGACAAGCAGTCACTTTGTCTTCCTTGCTGGGTGCACAGGGTGATGTTCAAATGTCCAACTTCCTATCCATAAATCTTTCTATACCAATTACTAGAGTCTTTAGAGAACTTCATCAGGGAGTTCTTTTTTTTTTCTTTTTATATTCTCTTTTCTCCCCTCCTTCTATTTTACCATGTACACATCTTCCCAGGAATAAGCCTGTGCTCTTCAGACCCCTCCTACCTCATGAACTGGCTGGATGCTCTGTGGCTGTGGTTGCATGGTGCCAAATCTAGGCTCTAAACATGACCTTAAGATTGTTAGCTCAGGCTCTGTGCCATGCTAGCTGTGTTCATAAGCTTCTGATCAAGTTGGCTGCAAAAGAAGAGCAAATGTGCTTGGACTGTAGGGAGGGAAACTTGAGTCTGTCTTAAATCTGCTGTGTGGATGGGCTCTAATTCATCTAATCTGGATGACCAGAACACCTTTCCCACAACCCCCCAGCTTTTCCATTCATGCTCTCTAACTATACCTTTGGTCCATCAATCAACTCTGCTTCCACCACTTGATACCTCTAAATGTAATTTAATAAACACTCAGTCCTCCACACCCAAATTTGATATTGCTGTCCCTAAATTAGGCAGGAGAATGACTAATTAATCCTCTGTCTTCCTCCAGCTGTTCTGTTGTGAGTTTGCCTTCTTTCTTGCAGGATTTGGGGCTACACAGGCAGTTTTCTTTGCTGCATGGACACTTTGTTCTATGTCCCTCCCTTGAGAAGATCGAGGCATTGTCTTCTGTGCACCCTGTCCCTTCCTCTCAAATAGTCTTGTGTCACTAAGTATCACTGTCCCTTGCTTTTCAAAGACTGGCTGGTAATTTGTTCTTCTTTGTGTCTTTTTCCTCTCACTCATGCTAAAGGAAAAAGCAGTATTTCTGTGGTGCCTTCTTACTCCTTTTCCAAAATTTGTAAACTCTCTATAACTCTACAGTTGAAAAACGTAAAAGAAAGTTTGAGTTAGTTGCCTTTGAGTCACCTTCTTGCTACTGCCACATACTTTTTGAAGATGAGTCGCAAAACTCTACCTGGTAATGTGGATAAACTCTTGACTCTGATGCAGGAGAAAACAGACACCAGGTTTTACCTCAGAATTTACTCTCTCTGTGTGTACAAACAGCTAAATGTCTTGACCTCGTTGCCTATTTCATTGCCTCAGTGGGTACATGTGCCAAGGTGATAAAACAAACTGCTACTTGATATCCAGGTGGCACTGCCAAATTCATGGCTAGCTCCATATGTCTCATGCAGGGTACTATTCTGGAATGACATTTTTGAGACTGAAAGCTGGTTATTTTTTTTCTTGGTGTATAGGTTCTAGCCTTGAAGTCTTTTCTGTTTTAAGCCTCTTCAGCTGTAAATCAGCAGAGCAGTGAGAGATAGGGATTATAGTCCTGCTGCTATTGAAATTAGGTGAGTTGGAGTATGAGGTTTGAACTAGCCCTCCCCATGCAAGCACCCATGTTTTGGTTTTAAATCTTGGAAGCACTGAGAAATAGCAAATCTAATACCGCTGTCAGAGTTGTAATGGTGTGTTACCAAATAGCCAGTCAAAGAGCAGTTTGATATTATGTATTTCTACCTGTAGGAGGGTCATGCTCTTTTCATTTTGATGGCAAGTGAACATGTAATCTGTTACACAAAAGGACGTCAGAAACATTTTTGTCATTCTTGTCCCTTTCAGTTCGAAAGGATTTAACTGGGCTTGATGATGTGACGCTTACGAGCCAATCGGAATGTGGAGGTGAGATCTAGAAGTTGTTTCTGTTGCATTTGTGGATTTTAAATCATTGGAAAGTCATAATTGAGTGAATGCTTTTTGTGGACGCCAACCCTTATGGAATGAAATGGTGTATGTGTAAAATATCTTTGTTGCCATTTATTTCCAAATAACCTTGCAGAGTTTCTGTGGTTTAGTTACTGAAGGTCAGCTTGCATTAAGAATATACTGGCTTATGGCAAATGTAAAATGAAATGTGTTGGCTCAAATCTGAGTGCAAGCAGTGTAAAATAATTCATTTTACTGCATGTTAGCGATACAAGAAGGCTATACATGCTAGGTGTGAGTTGAGTGCTGCATGATACATAAGCTGACTACGTTAATTCAAACTCCTGATTTACTGCTTTTGCAGTGCTTTACCTTTCTGATCTAAAACAGTATGTTGGGATTTCTTGCAACAGTAATTTGGCTCTTGCTGATTGACTTTTTTAATAGCACTCAAACAGGAAGGGTTAGTTTTGTAATTTCGTGGAGCCCAGTGGTGAGCTGGCTTTGAAAGTTTAAGTTGGGTGTTTGATGTTGGTCTCTTTATTCCCAGTATTCAAAGAAAGACCAGTTGCTCTGCAGAGTTTGTAGTTAATTTTAGAAAACATATTTCTATAGGTACTAAAAAAATGTTAAGACAGCTTTACATGCAACGAGTTTCTGTACAGAGTCTCAGGAAGTGAAAAGCTAGCTAAATCTTTGGATGAGATAAAGAATTTTAAAGGCTCCTAAGCTATATGAGAAATCTAGGGTAACAGGTGTCTTTCTCACTTTCAGGCCTCTCCAGTGACAGTGACTTGATATCTCTGACAGTTGATGTAGATTCTCTTGCTGAGTTAGATGATGGAATGGCATCCAACCAAAGTTCTCCCAGTAGAGCTGTTGGCCTTTGCATTGCTTCTGAACCCCCAGTACAAAGCACTCTGGCACCTGAGCAGGAGTGGAGCAAACCCGAAGGAGAGAGGGAAAGTCATGGTTTGTTTACTGGAAGCTTAAAACCCAAGCCAGGCAAACAAGATTACTTGGAGAAAGCAGGCGAGTTAATAAAACTGGCCTTGAAGAAGGAGGAGGAAGAAGATTATGAAACTGCCTTAAGCTTTTATAGAAAGGGGGTTGATCTGCTTCTGGAAGGTGTTCAAGGTATGGATCTTCCCATTATGTTTGTCTTATCTGTGGTTATGTGTATTTGTTTATGGCATTTCCTTAGTTAACATCAGCTTACTGTGTTGCAAAGAGGTGATATGAATTGGAGAATGATGTGTGCGTGGCTCTCGTGTACTTGATAGCTGTGTGCATGTGAGAGAGAGAAGTCTTTCTAAGACTGAATGATAATTTAGAGTCTTGTCTTCCAAGTGCCAAATATCTCCTCTTTTAAAATTGCAGCACAACCTTTGACTTGCAGGTAAGTAGCAAAGTGCTCCACTTTTGCCTCTTTCCTTTTTATTACCTAGACATTAATTAATATGTGGCACTTACAGCACTGTTGAAACATTATTTAATTTACATGGTTAAGTGAGGATTAATTATCCCCATTTTACGCATGGGGAGAGACAGACTCAGGTTAACTTCCCAATCACAACGGGATTGGAACTACTCTTGGCTCACAGCCTCTTGCTTCTTCCACTGAACTATTCTCCTTTCCTAGTGTACTGGTTTGGGCTGGGGTAGAACTAACTTTATTCACGGTGGCTAGTACAGGGCTGTGTTGTGGATTTGTGCTGAACACAGGGTTGATAATGCAGAGATGTTTTTGTTGCTGAGAGCTCACACAGAGCCAAGGCTTTTGCTGCTTTCTGTGCTGCCACACTGGCAAGGAAATGGGGGCTGCGTGGGAGATTGGGAGGAGACACAGCTGGGACAGGTGACCCAAACTGACCAAAGGGATATTCCATACTATATGATATCATGCTCAGTATATAAGGTGTGAGAAAGAAGAAGGAAGGGAGGGACATTTGGAGTGATGGTGTTTGTCTTCCCAAGGAACCGTTACATGTGATGGTCCCTGCTCTCCTGGAGATGCTGAACACCTCCTGTCTTCGGGAAGCAGTGAATTAATTCCTTGTTTTGCTTTGCTTGCGTATGTGGCTTTGGCTTTCTCTATTAAATTGTCATTGTCTCAACCCGTGAGCTTTTCTATCTTTTACCCTTCTGATTCTCTCCCTCATCCTGCTGGTGGGGGAGTGAGTGAGTGGCTGCATGGGGCTTGGTTGCTGACTGGGGTTAAATCACAACACCTAGTGAAAGGGTACATGCAGACTTACATGCCTGCACTTCTAGAGGAGAACAGGATCTTCTTTTTATGTGAACACTTCGGTATGCTGATATATGTCTGCAAAAGCTGTTGTTAACAGACCAGATACAACTACATGCACATTTCTGTGGAGTCTCCTTGCAACTTGTCAATAAGGGAGCAATTTTTTCCCTTTCTTCTCTATTTCTTGAGAATCTGGAGTGATAACCTCATATATTTGCATTTTGTCCAACAATGGCTTAAAACTATAAAGCACAGGAAAAGATTTGTTCTTTCCTGGAGTGGACTCAAGGTCTGTGTATTGTGCTTCTGTCCCACACAGATGAAATGAGTAAGATTAGAATTGTGGCTTTGTTTGGCAGTACACAGCACAAGATGCATTATGCTGCTCCAGATCTGAACTTAAATGTTAATGTACCAAGGCACGCACAAGCAGAAGCCTTTGCTGCATCTCTGTG